TTAATTGAAAAACTGCTAGACCTAATGTCAAAGTTTATTAAAGCAAACGGATACAAAATCAACGTAAGAAAATTTTCCTATTTGTCAGGAATTACTAAAAAGAAATTTAATGGTTTACAATAACTGACATTCGATATAATTTATATCTCTTGCCTCTCAACATTTCTGTGAAAATATAAAAATAAAAATAATTCCATTGAACCATCAAAAAGTGAAGTGGAATTCCATCAAAAGGATAAAAACACTGAAGAATTATTGGAAGATATACAATAGAGAGGAAGAGAGTAACTGCAAAACTTAAAGGAGTTTAAGAAATGTTAAACTTATAGGTGATGACAAAGTATCTGGAATTAGGGAGATCACAAAGTAAATATACACAGTGGAACCTAAGAAAAGTCATGGATTAGGTGATTATTTAAATAAAGGGCAAAAAAAATTGAGCCAGTACCTCATTCTTGGGGCAAAGTACCTCAGCATTTGCTTCAGGGTAAAGCCTATGGAAGGGTCTCTGCAGCACACGTTCTAACATGGAGCCCTTCAAGTGGACACTGGGACAGGAGAAACACAAAGCATTCCAGGTACATACAGCTTCATGGAGTTCAGAGAATCTTCTGCACTTAAAAGCAGGTGCAGCAACCTCCTGAGGTCTCACATCCCACCCCATCCCTCTCCTGCACAATCTCTCCACACAGCTCCATGATCGGAATCTACACAACGGGAATGTACAGCATAGTAAAAAGAAAAATAAAGACCAACCCCACTTATGACTATAGGTGCAACAATCATAAGTAAAATGTCAACAAACTGATAAAAACAAAATCTTAAATAGGATTCAGTAGTCTTCTAATAACATTAACACTTAACTTGACAACTATTTTATGCACACACACATACTTAGACTTAATTAAATAAGTAATTATGTTAATGTCATAACTTTAAGAGAGGCCCAAGTTCAAATAAAAAGAAGCAAAAAACCTTGTAGTCTTAACTTTGAATTGGAAATATCACTACAAACTAAGATTTAAAACGAATATATGTACCTCCTTTCTCCTTCCACTGATAAGGCCTAGAAGTCATGATAATCCAGAAGCAATGATCACCCCTTAGTGCCCAGATTATGTTCTTTACACACTATTTCCCATTAAAAGAAACTAGGGCTCCTTGAAGAGAGGGCTGGGGAAGGGCATTTTTAAGGCAAGTCAGAGACATCTTCTGTCAGAAGGCACAGAAGCTGTTAGAGGCTAGTGAGTGGCATTAAAAGACACAGGACCCAACTTGAGGGGCTCTCACCAGCCAAAGAGGAAATAATTTAGTAAAAAGAACAACAATGACAAAGTAATGAAATAAAAATGAGTATTAAAAAATAATGAGGGCAAGTTCTTTATTTCAAGTTCTAATAATTGTTTGAGGAATGGTAAAACTAGCATATCATCATTTTGCAACCCCTTATGAACCAATGAGCGTGGTGATGGTGCTGATCATCAACAGCTGCTGAGTCCCTCAGGTGAAAAGTTGGCAGGGAACTTTCAACTAGAGGGATCAGGCTAATGCACTGATCCCACTGATCAATCTTAACACTGCCAGAAGAGACAACCAGACTTCACATGCCTCATGTTGTTACTGACCTGGGGTCCTTGAGTTCCACGTGCTAGAAGAATCAGCATCAGACTCAAAGTTTGGCTCCAACAAGGCTTTATTGGGACTTATGCTCCAGCTCATCTATTAAGATTCTGCTTGACAACAAGACTAGGGAATGATGGACAAAGAGATGGGAGAAGAAAGAGAAAGGGTATAAAGATAGCCTAATTATGAGATCTTAATGGATGGGTAGAAATTCAAAACTATAAAGGAGTTCAGTTCAGTTCGACAAAAATTTTTTTTACAGGCACTGTGCTAAGTGCTTAGAATACCAAAACAAGATGTAGTTCCCACTCTTCAGGAACTTAGTTTAGTGCAGATTTCTCTACTGGGGTTTTTATACATGTCATTAGGTGTTCTCTTAGATGTTACTATGGGTTCCAGAAAAGATTGGCGAAATAAATTTTTTTAAAGAAGTTTCCATTTCCATGCAATGCCAGCACTTGCAGTGATGAACAGTAATCAAGCAGCCTTTTTAGTAATTTTGCTAGAGGTCGTTCATCTATATGGCAGTGGACGTGGTTGAGTCCACTCTGTTTTTGATGAAAACCAGGGGAGGCTGTTGATAACTGGTGTCTCAACAGTAATGAAAGAGGGAGGATGTGTTTATGGCATCAGCCTCTCCCTCCTCAACTGAATCTTCTAATTTCCACCAACCTCCGCTTACCACAGCCAACTGAAAGTAAACACGTTTTCCTGATACAACAGATCAAGGAGTAAATTTAAATTCTAAGGAAGGACTTTGTACCTGCTATGACTCAGATGCTTCTGTTACTTTGTAATGTTGTAAATATTGCGAAACAATGTAAGCTCAAAGTAAACTGTATTATAAAGATTTCATTTTTCTTTTGTGGTTTCCTTGTATAGTTTGCTTGCTCTACACTTAATCAATACCTGTTTTACAAACATGACCTACAATCAAATGTGGGATTTTTGAATATAAAGCAGGAGATGGAATTCTAGGCCTAAGTAATTCTGATAAAGTTAGTAACGAAAAATCATAACTTACAAATGCAGCAATGGTCTAGGATAATTGAAGACACTGAACTATGAATCTCAGCAAAGGAACAAATAATTTTAAGTGGTCTTTGGAATCCCAGAGTGAAAAACTTTTTAAAGTTTTAAAAAAGTCACTTTCAATTAAAAGGCCCAGAAAACAAGTCATGAATAGCAAAACTTCTGACTAGAAAAGTAAAAATCCCAGTTGGTATGAACCTCAAAATTCTAGTATGTAAATATAGAAAGTAAAATGCTAAGGTAAGACATAATATGAGAAACCAAAATGTTTAATTCTCCAAGTTTGATAAATTGATGTAATTGATGACATATCTCATGTTGTTGAAGAAAGTCCATAATAAACCAAAAAACAATTTATTGTCCAGATTGATGGATATTTCAATGACAAATATCATATGGAAGCACTTATAAGATATATAAATTGTGGTGGAATGCATCGAAGTTTCCTCTCTACTTAATTGCTATCCTTTGTGAGGCGGGGGGAAACTTCATAGAGTAGACTAATTAGTTAGGCAAAAATAAACAAATTGACAGAAAATCATGATTCTCTATTCAAAAGAGCACTGAGTTGCACAACACTGTGAACCATGAACTTATACACTTAAATATGGTGAATATGGTAAAGTTTATGTCATGTGTATTTTACCAGTTAAAAAAAAAAGCAATCAACTGAATGGGAGAAGATTATCTGCAAATGATATATCCAATACAGGGTTAATACCCAAAATCTATAAAGAACTCAGAACTCAACACCAAAAAAAAAAACAAAACAAATAATCTGATTTAAAAATGGGCAGAGTACCTGAAGAAACATTTTTTCCAAAGAAGACATCCAGATGTCCAACAGATACGTGAAAAGATGCTCAACATCACTAATCATCAGGGAAATGCAAATCAAAACCACAATGAGATATCATCTCATACTAATCAGAATGGCTAGAATCTAAAAGATAAGAAATAACAAGCATTGGCTAGGATGTGGAGAAAAGGGAACCCTCCTACACTTTTGGTGGGAATGTAGGCTAGTACAGCCACTATGGAAAAAAGTATGGAGGCTTCTCAAAAAATTAAAAATAGAAATATCATATGATCCAGTAATGCCCTTTCTGGGTATTTCCTTGAAGAAAACAAAAACACTAATTTGGAAAGATGCCTAAATTTATGGCAGCATTATTTACAATACTTACTTATTTACATGATATACTATAGCCAAGATATGGAAGTAATGTAAGTGTCCATAGACACATTAGGTGAATGGATAAAGATGTGGAGTGTGTGTGTGTGTGTGTGTAATGGAATACTACTCAGTGGAATAGTACTCAGACATAAAAAAGAATGTAATCTTGCCATCTGCAACAACTTGAATGTAACCTAGAGGGTATTATGCCAAGTGAAATATGTCATGAAGTGAAAGACAAATATTGTATGATTTCACTGATAAATGTAATAAAAAATAACAAAACAAAGACAGAGTGATAAATACAAAAACAAACTGGTGGTTGCCAAAGGGAAAGAGACGGGTTAGGTGAAATGGGTGAAGACAAAGAAGTACAAATTTCCAATTGCAGATAAACTGCGGGGATGAAAAATACAGCACTGGGAATACAGTCAGTAATATTCTAACAACTTTGTATGGGGACATATGGTAACTACACTTATTGTGGTGAGCAATTTGTAACGTGTATAACTGTCATCTGTATGTTATACGCCTGAAACTAATATAATATTGTACGTCAATATTCTTCAATAAAAAAATTAATAAAATGGGCATTACAAAGGTACACGTGCGCATTTTTTTCTTCCTTTAGTTAAATTATAGGACAAAAGACAGGCACAGTCCAGCCCACCATCATGCATACTACAAACGATCCGGAAGAAACAAGCTACTAGAAAGAAGGCGGACTAGCCTTTCCTCTAGATTCAGAAGCGACCAGATTCACCTCTGGGCACAGCGCGGCTCAAAACTCCTTTGAGATATGGGCGGCACACTTCCAAGAGCGGGCCACCCACCGACGAGCGAGGGGATCATTTTGAAGCCTCAAATGTACCACATACCGATCACTTATTACTATGACCCTATAAAGAATATTTTGAAATACAATAATTTTCTGAACTGTAAAAGGGGGACATTAAAGGTAAGTACACAGTATTACCTATTTCATATCTTCCTTTCAGCCTTTCCTTAGGGAGAGGCACCACCGGCCAATCCCAGTAAGAGGGCGCGGATCACTAACACCCGCGGTCGCCAAGGGCAACAGTGGTGTCCGCACTTCCTGCACCATCCCGACGCAAAGGACCCCGCTATTATACGTCACTTCCTTCGCTCGTCTGTCGGCAAGTCGAGCTGTCGTAAATTAGTAGGTGAAGTTGTGTTATTGCTGCTCTTTCATCCCTGAAGTCTGTTTTGGAAAGGTGACAGTATCGCTGGTTCATTCGGTGACTGGCTTTTTGTAAACCCGTTATTCGAGTTTCTGGTCAGTTTCTTCCCCTCTTTTGTACTGGTACGGTGGCCGGGGAGGTGCATCTGCGGCGGAAGTGCCGGGCGGGTCAGCACGTGGCGCCGGTGAGTGACCGTAGGCAGCCCCAGGAGCTGAGGATGCTGGGCTCGGGGCTCGGGGCCCAGGGCGGGAGGGAGGGAAGAAAGAAGGGCATGCGGCTTGAAGACCTTGCTGCCTCCTGGGCGAGGAGATACTGACCTGGGGAGACGAGGCTGGTGAGTGGTCGGCGCGCACAGGCCTGGCGAGATGACACTAGTCCTTCGGGTTCGCCTCTTGGGGCTTGGCAGTGGGTGAGGTGGCAGGGCTGCTATTATTATTGTCCTCTTTTATGGTGTCCCGACCGAGGCCTAAAGGGTTTAGTGGTGTACCCAGAGGCCCCTATAACCAAAAGGCGAGCGCTGTTTTTCTCCCCAGGTGTGAGTGAGCATGTCTTTTCGAGGCGGAGGTCGTGGAGGCTTTAATCGAGGAGGTGGACGTGGCGGTTACGGTCGCGGCGGCAGCGACAACCACTTTCGAGGTGGAGGCAGTTTCAGAGGAGGTGGCGGCAGAGGATTTGGACGCGGGGGTGGCCGCGGAGGCTTTAACAGAGGCCAAGACCAAGGACCTCCAGAACATGTAGTTTGTATGTCGGCTTTAAAGCTTGGCCTGATTGGGAGGTGGCTGCGGAGGTTGCGGGTTTGTGTTATTAGTAAGTTTGGGAGTCAGACGCTGAAAGATCTAGCAGCCCTCTCATACAGGGGTTGCCGCTTGGTTGGGGAGGAAACTGCTGAGACGCTGTAAACTGACAACAGTCGTGCTGTAGTATGGAAAGGGCGTTCAAGAAAACTGAAAGGCAGTGTATCATGGACTTGGAACTTGAGCTCAGGCTGAAAGGAAGATATGAAATAGGTAATATTGTGTACTTACCTTTAATGTCCCCCTTTTACAGTTAAAATTATTGTATTTCAAAATATTCTTTATAGGGTCACAGTAATAAGTGGTCGGCATATGTACATTTGAGCTACAAAGACAAGTTTTCAGACTCTAAAATCCATACCTTCAGTTATTCATAAGAGACATGGGGGGGGGTTTGCTTGGAAGGGAAAGTACAGAGAGCAAGTGAAACAAAATACCTAAATGCAGTAGTTTTGGAGTAATTATCAATGATGTGGGATGGAAGTCATGTTAAATGAGACAGAGATTTGACAGTAGTAGCCTACATCAAAAGAGGAGAAAGGGTGAACAGTCTAATATAAATAATAGATTGCATCAATATGTAAGATGGTTTGAAGAGGGTAACGGCAAGATTTGAAGGACCTAGCCCAAAAACTGTTGCAACAGTCCGTTTATACGTTGGTATTACTTGCTCTTTTCATAGGGACTTGGTCTTTTATAAGGGACTTGTAAATAGTTCCACTGTTCTCCCTTCTCCAATGCCTAATGGTGTCTGGTTTTTTTTGTTTTTTCGGGGGCTTTTTTGGTCTATTACATTTTGTTTCTGTATATGACTGTCTTTTGAATCCACATCTCTCCTCTGTAGTATTTTTTGAATAAATGTTTACAACATTAGAAAAAAAAAGCGCGCGCAGCGGAATTGAAGGAATAAAAGGAAGAGTAGATGGGAGACAGACTTCCTTGGAAACAAATTCTTAGTACTTGGCTAATCCTGGGAATAAAAGTTCTCCTGTTTTGAGGTTGAATGAGATAGGGCTGGAATATTGGTTTTGCAGGAATGTGATAAGTATTTTATTTGGGGGTAGCAGTCAATTAGATATGAAGGTACTTATTTGAGATTCCAGACTTCCCTGAAAAAGACTGAAGGGTAATTGGTGAGGAGGTGATAGTGGGAATATATAAAAGGGGAAGAAGAGAAAAGGAGAACAAGAAAGACAGGGATGGGGAGAAGAGACAAAATGAAGCATGCAGTTTAATTAAGTAATAGTTACTGTAATAAAGTAACTACTAGAGGTTGAGCGGTTTCAGTGTCCCAGGCACTTTTCTAAGCCCCTGACATTTATTATTGCACTTAATCCTCACAGTACTCCATGTTAGGTGGTAGTACTGTTGTAGCCCTATATAAAAGTTGACACCAAAGCAGAGAGATGAGAACCTTTCCTCAGGTCACATAGCTAGAGTGGTGTAGGGTTGGTATATCAACCCAGAAATGCTTTCCTGCCTCACAAGACAAATACGGAGAAATCCCAGGTAGCCAAGAAGAAAGCTTCCAGAATAGGTTGTTCAGTATCATTTGAAATTGTTTTATATTTAACATTTTCTTATCCTATTTCAGTATTAGGAGAGTTCCTGCATCCCTGTGAAGATGACATAGTTTGTAAATGTACCACAAATGAAAATAAAGTGCCTTATTTCAACGCTCCAGTTTACTTAGAAAACAAAGAACAAATTGGAAAAGTGGATGAAATATTTGGACAACTTAGAGATTTTGTATCCTTTTTAATTGGAAGACCTAGTGATCTCCTTAAAAGGTTACTATTTGCCTTTTCTTGAGCCAAGTACTAATTGAATTAACCCTGCTTAATTAAATGGATGGAATATTGCGGGTGGAATATTGCTAAGATTGGACCATGAAAGAGTCAAGAGAGGAGAATGTATTTTGATATATTGAAAAGATAGGCCCTATGAAGGTGACTTCAAATTGGAGGGCTTTATAAATGATTGCCACTTTGATAAGTGCTATGGGATTAAGGTACTTCACTTTGGATGTGAAGATGCCCCTGGAATAGTGTAGTGAAACTGGAAGTTTTAAAACAAAAGCAAAAACTTCGTATCCTCTTGGAAACTCATTTCTTTTCCTAAATATTTCCATATATTCTAACCTTGTTCTTAAAATTTCACGTGCGTTTCAAAGTTTTATCTTTCTTATTTCAATTCCTTAATAAAATTGATAGTATTTTTCTGTTAAACTGTCAGAAAATATGAAGGCATCTTCCTTTAAAAAACTGCAGAAGGTGAGTCAAGCTTATGGTAATTAGAATCACTGGTTTTAATAAGCCAACTGACCTACGCTAGGCCAGTCCTACTTAGGGCAGTTGAGACTCCCCCAGTAAATCCTAGTGAAGGTCTGAGATGTTCTGTACTTCAGACATTGAACTTTAACTGATTTTTAAAAGTAACTTAATACAGTATTAAATAATTAACTGCTCATATTAGCAAATTCTATAAGTGCTAGAGAATGTTTTTTACCTTTTGTAAAACTCTTACTGAAATGCTTACATGACCAAACATTCTAAGTGCAACATCAAATTATAAAATTCCTATTATTTGGGAGAAGTCAGATATTAATGTTTTAACATTTATTTCGATAACATTATGATGTGTTTTATGAAGGAGAAGTGTGGATTGCTGTGAGAATTGCTGTGAACATGTGCAACCAAATTTATTGTACTGGCTTTCTGAGGAAGTGAACTTGAAGCTGAGATCTGAAAGTTGACTAGGAGTGATTCCGAAATTCAGAATTATCTGGGGGAGCTTTCAAAATGTATTTCTAGGTCCCACTACTAGAAATTTGACCCAGTAGGTCTTAGAGAGATACCACGATTCAGTTTTAAGAAGGAAAGCCCCTGGGTGATTTTCATGTAATTAGAACAGCATTTAGGAACCACTGCTAGTCAAAGAGGAGGAGGAAGTGCATTTCAGGTAGAGAAAACAGTATGTACACATGTCTGTGACTGTAAGCCACTTCAAGGATCTGAGAAAGGGAACATTTAAGAGGAGTGGGAAAAGTTGTTATTTCAAGAGAAATGAGCAGGGGGTAGATTACTTTCGGATTTCAAGTCATGGGAAAGAGTTTAGACTTTTGTTTTTAAATATTGGGATAAATATGGTTAAGTTTATACTTAAAAAAGAGTATCGGAAGAATAGAAGCACCCTGGAAGGGAGTCAGTCCTGTATGGGAAGGGCCCATGTCAGAGGCTTGTTGCATTAGCCCTGGATTGTGTGGGAGTAGGGTAGGACAGTGGAAAAGGAGAAAAGTAGGTGGATTTGTGAGAGAGAGAGGCAGGAGAATTTCTAGGTCTTACTAATTGATCACTAAGTTGAAGTAAAAATACCACCAACTTTGAGATGTCTGACTCCATTATTTGTGGATCATGTCACCATTTACTGAAAAGGGCAACACTGGAGAAGCAGGGAATTGGGGGTAGATAATGAATTCAGTTATGAACATAATGAGTTTGAAGCACTTGTGAGATATTCACATGGGAGGTCAAAGGAGTCTGGACTAGAGAAAGAATTGGGAAATTGTTATTATACGGACAGCATATGATGCAGTCTAGAAAGCAGGAACACCAGGAAAAGAGCTTTGGGGCACCCCCTACATTTATGTGTGTGTGAGTGGAGACTGAGAACTGCCAGTGAAAAAGGAGACCAAACCAGGAGAGTTTTATAAAAGTGGTGTCACAAATCAAGAGAACAATGTGTCCAAGAGTTAGTGCTTGCCTGGCAAAATACCTGCAAAGTGTGCAGTGGATTTACCAATATGGAGGTCAATAGGTGATGGAGCCAGTGGAGGGGGTTCTGAGCAGATGGATAGGAGATGACCCGGGGACAGTGCCTTGTTGCTAGTGTGTGGCTGCTGGATGGAACAACCCTGATGGATACCCACGGGGAAACAGCACTGCCTCAGGCGGGCCTGAGAGTCAGGTTTCTCATTTAGGGACCTGGAAAAAAAGAATTTGCCTGTGATAGCCACTTAAATTTGATATGGTGCTTGCCTTTTCCCACAGATTATTTATTTGAGCACTTGTTATCAGTGTTTTCTTATGCCAGATGCGAAATTGGTATATTCTACTTCTCATTTCTAGATCCACTGTTCAGGTTCAGGTCCTCCTTATGCAGCCCAGGTTATTAGCATAATCTCTAGACCAGTACTGTCCAATCAAATTCCTGCCTAATGCAATATAGCCTCTAGCCATCTGTAGCTATTGAGTACCTACAAAGTGACTACTGTAACTTAGGAACTGAAACTTTGTTAATTAGTTAAAATCTAAATAGTCATGTGGCTGATGGCTGTCATGTTAGTGCAGAGCTAGACACTATTTTTGGGAGGATGGGCTCTAAAGGAAAGAAGAGTGATAAAGTGATATCTAAAGAGGGATTCAGATATCTTGTTATAAGTCATACCTTATAATTTTGAAACCCACAGGTGTGTTTTGTGTAAAACTACAAAGTATACCCTATTATATTTCATTATGAAAAATATCTTCTTTAACCCAAATATATGGTGGGTTTACTTTATATCCTTCATTACTTTGTGTGTTCAATATATGGTTATTGATTAAATCCTTTATCAAAGTCTTGCAAAAGCTAGTATGTCAGTTCTTTATTTTGAATTTTAATGCTAAATTTTAAATACTTTTATTTTTGTGGCAACTCTGTTGAGTACAAATGCAATTTTTGGAAGGCATCTATTTCTAAATAGAAATAAGATTCAATTGGTCTTGGGTTTTATTCATATGCATGTCATGTTTAAGTGCTTATGTATATTATTCTTTCCATCCTTACAAGGACTACGAGAGGTGGGTACTTTATGGCACAAAGAAATCAAGTCCTTGCCCAGGCCTACACAGTAGTAAGTAGTAGGGATGGGATTTGAAACCAGGCAATTTTGAGTCTAGCATGTAGGTTCTTAACAATTATACTATACTACCCCCAAGTCATCACACTAATTGGTTCTATTATACTCCAGTTTTACATAGATCCATATAAACTGCTGCCACTGCAGAGGTTTTTACCTCGACCTCCAGGTGAGAAGGGCCCTCCAAGAGGTGGTGTCAGGGGAGGTCGAGGAGGAGGAAGAGGAGGTGGCAGAGGTGGTAGAGGCGGTAAGTAACTTGTGGAAAATTTCTCATGAGATTTCAAAGTCACAGTCAATCCCTATTATAAAATTTAATTGTGTATGGGCAAACCTCCCTTATTTTTTATTTTTATTTTTATAGTGAAGCTGTTTTCAAATCTTGGCAGATAGCTACAGTAATAATGCTTTATTTCAGTAACTTATTGAAGAAAAAAAAATCTAATGAAATGTAACTGAGGGATTTCATCTTTGGGTTATTTATGTTTTGTTGGACATTTTATAAAGGATGAGAATGTGTTAGCTAATTTAAATTTTTTAGTTAATTTAATATCAGTGAGTGCTGATTGTATGACAAGAGCTGGTCATACATTGTTTTAATATCCATGTACATTCCTTTTTGTTTTCTGCAAATGTCAATTACAGTTTTATTTAAAGCCAACTTCATCAACAAGTGACTGGAAATTCCCTAAAATTTTTTTTAATGTTTAATGACCTGATATGTGGATGTTATTTTTTTTTTAATATGATATTGTATTTATATTTTCATACAGGAAGTTCTTTTTGGTTTGTTTTTTGTTTTTTGTTTATTTTGAGAGGGCATCTCTCATATTTATTGATCAAATGGTTCTTAACAACAATAAAATTCTGTATAGGGGACTCAATGCACAATCATTAATCAACCCCAAGCCTAATTCTCAACAGTCTCCAATCTTCTGAAGTATAACGAACAAGTTCTTACACAGTGAACAAGTTCTTACAGAGTGAATAAGTTCTTACATGGTAAAGAGTGCAAGGGCAGACATATCACAGAACTTTTCGATTTTGATCACGTATCATGAACTATAAACAATCAAGTCAGATATGATTATGTGTTTGATTTTTATACTTGATTTACATG